GGGGAATTCTGGGAGTTGAAGTCCACACATCTTAAAATTCCCAAGGTTGAGAAACACTGGTCTAAAGGGATACACCCTATTCAGTTTAATGAGCTTCTGCTGAATGTATTTGTGGTAGTCAAGGGATCCTGGAAGATTATGAAAAAAAAAAAACAACCCAAGAGCTGCGAGGGTAAAATAATCTGATACATAATTAATGGGTGATAAAAGCATGGTGAATCAAAAACACATAAATGGAAACTTTTTTTTAAAATGGAATTTCTCTTTACTCTTTGGTTGGAGTCTTAAGAGAGGCACTTTCTTTATATAAAGAACCATAGGATGGGTTGTTCAAATCTGGCTGTATTGTGCTGCTCTTCTTCTTCCCTGTGGGGATTAAAATAACAAAAAAATGTTTGGAGCAACTATGATAAATCAAATCCAACATGTTTAATTATTTTCCTTTTAAAACGTTTCTCACTATAGGCTTCACTTTGTTTTGCTGTGATAGACTGTGGCAACAGGGTGGAAATAATTCAATTTTTTTTTTTAAAAAAAGTGCATTAGCAATAGGAAAGAAATTAAGTGAAAAGTAATTTTTATTAAAAATGATTTGAAGAGGTATCTGATGTGGTTTTTCTCTTCAGCCATCCCGCTAATGGTTGTTTTTCAGCTGTGTGAATAGGAATGACAGACAAAATATTTCCAGACTCTGACTTACCAGGAATGTGTCCACAGTCTATATAAAAAGTTGTCAAATGTTCCTTGCTTCTGTTCCGGGTTATTATAAAAACGCCAATAAACGTCAGAGAAGACCTGCAGAAGAGTTGTCAGATTCATGACATTCATGCAACGACAACTGGCTATCTTCCAGATGGTTTTGTCTATAACTCCAACAAGTCCACTGGCCATGTTGGCTGGGGGTGATGGGATCTGAAGCCCCAAATCATTGGAACTTATTGTGGGCTTTTCTCTGTGGCTGAAAGATCTGGAAGTCAGGTTTATCTAGGACACATAGGGTGGAATCTAGGACAAAGTTAATACTACCTCAGTAACCCTCTGAAGAATGGTGGGCTGAATGTAAGGGTGCCCTTAATTCATAATACCTCTCAAGTCATACCTGTTTTTCTCATGCCTCCAAAAACCAGTATGCCTAGAAGATAACAGGCAAGGCTGCTTTGTATAACTGGAGTACATCTGCTATTGCTGGTAATCTCAGAAGAGCCTTAAGCCTTTTTATCTCAGAGATGCACTTTTAAAAAGTGAACTGACTAGTATACGCTGGTTCAGCTGCTGATAGCTACTGGAGTTTCACCTGAGTAACACTGGATAATGTAAGAAGCTGCTCAGAGATGAAAATGTTGCCTTTGGGTAGCTTTGATGTGGTTTTTGGTTTTATTTTACTATGACTTGGTTGGTGTTTGGGCTTTTTTTTTTTTTAAATCAGAAGAAGAAATCCATAACTGAGGAGTTGTTCTGGATTTGAGAAACATACTTTGCTGGACATTATTCTGCAGCCCCTGCCCTGTGAAGTGAAATAAGTGACTACAAGGGACAAGTAGCAGGAGTCCCTTTTGAGAAAATCTTCTGCAATAAAGCCCTCCTGGGTTCTGTGGCAATATCTTTGGGAGGGCTAAGCTAAAAGAGTCTACATCTCCCTGGCAGTGTGATCATTTGTTTTTACTTTATGTGTCTGTATAAGTGGTTTGAATATATTTTATTCTCATTATCTTTCCTGTGCTATTTATTAATACATCCTAAATTGTTTGTAATGCTTAGTCTGCCCAGTTTAATTGATGAATACTCCCATTCATACATGGAATTAAAATGGAATAAAATAAAACCCATGTGTGATCCTTCTTAAAACTATCCTCTAGCGTGAGAAGCAGTAGTCAGACAGGCGAGTCCAGATTATCTTCTGTAACTACAGACTGACTGGACCCATTTGATGGAACCTGTTGCATCTTTGTTCCTCCTCTTACTGTAGTTAAGAACTTGAGCATAATTTTGAAAGTAAATGACTTACCCAAAGAGAAACATGAAACCGCTCAGGATATCTGCGCCTTGGAACTCCTGATAAAATATGGCTCCTTGGATTGAGACAAAACCCAAAACAGCATCTCTTAAATTGCAGTTACATTTGACAACAATGACATTTCCTCTAGCCTCAACCAACAAACAAAAATGCCAAACCTATAATCCATCCAGCCATTTCTCATTTGTTCGCAATTACGACGCTGATGAAAAAGTAACTTTGCAACCAATGCCCGCATTTACAACCTTTGCAGTGCTTCTGTGTCCACCATTACAGTCAGTTAATATGCATTGTCCTGTGCCTGCCCCATTTTTATTTTCTTTTTCCCCTCCTCGCAAAGCAGAGAGATTGCCTAAACAAGCTCTCTCTTCCTGCGCTGCTTTTCTCCACAGTGCAGCATGTCCCTAAAAAGTGCTAACTGCAAGTTCAGAAGCTCAGCTCTGTGACCTTAATTAGTTGATTAGGACCCTCTGGTGGGCTCAGGCTGCTGCCTGCATTAGCCATTAAAGACCCTAATCAGTTTCACATTAAAGGATTTCTTTTGCCTCCTTCTTTTGTGGCTCACAGCGAGCACACTAGGCAAACAGCTGACACTAGCACACTCCTTTTGATGTGTATTCCCCGTTGTGTGCCTGCTTACTCTCTTGTAATCCCTTCCTTTCCAATGAATGTAAATACAAACATCAATTCCCTTCTTGCTAATTATCCCAGCACGGGGTGAGCATTTCCAAGGGCGGTGGTGGGGGGAGGGCTATAAGATCTGCTCTTTTATCCAGCTTCCTCATAAGTTGAGTTCCAGAAACCTTTCCCGCCGTTTGGGCCCAACCGGCTGTTTGGGGTCATATCCTTTGGATGCTGTAAGGCAAAGGCTGAAGTAAAATCATAACCACGGCCATGGTCATGTGATTTCCACTTAGCGACTGCTTTGCTTAACAACTGAGTTGCCAGTCCCAATAGTGGTCACTAAATGAGGACCACCTGTATCTATCTCAGATACCAAAAGGTACTTCTGTTAATACTACACTTCTTTATTCATGCAGGAAATGTGTTAATTTTCCTTTCCAGCTATGCCATATTGAATGCTATTTGACACAGATCTGTCATCTGGACAATGGTGTTTTCTACCATAGAAGATGTGGTAGCAAGAATGCTCAGCTCAAAAAGTTCCAGGGCATGTGAAGAATGCACATGGTCTTCTGTAATGGGCATTAAGAATAACTATGAGGAATAGGAAGAAGAGCCAAAACCAAGACAACAGTCAGATAAAAGAATTTTGGGTGTGAGACAGAAATGTAATTTGAGAAAACATCTGAGACTTGACCCTCCCTGGTTCTCTTGAAGATAACAGGAGGGAGGGGGGAAGCGTATTCAGACTTGCAAGATTCTGTTACTATAACCTTATAATAAAAGTAGTATTAGCATACACAACTTTGGCTTTCTAGTCTGGTGTATCTCAAAGGATCAACATCCTCTTAATGGATGCCATTCATTCTAATTGCTTAAAGGAATATGGAACTATAGCTCCCCTTTTATCCTCTGGCTAATGCAGGGCACAATTTTAGCAATGAAGATTAGGCCATAAAAACCTTAACTGTGTGTACTGTTACTGTGTACCATCACAATTAGTAAACTGTAACACAACAATTGGTAAAACTATCATTTTAAGTATGAGTAAGTTAAAAGCACAAGCTTATTTATACACACCTGTAACTATTGATATATGGTAAATAGAGTTTAAAAAACCGAGAGAGAGAGATTGAGATTCAAATATGCCAGACTCCCAAGGGTTCCAATTCATTAGGGCCTCAACTTGGAGGCCACCAGGCTCCCTCCCTACCACAAGATGGCAGCAAAGCGATAGGGTTTTCTGGATCTCTTTCCTGTCATCTAATGGTCATCTGTAGTCCTGCAAAGGTTATGGGCCCCATAAGCATTCCTAAACTTGAGAATGCTGAGCAGGACAGCTGAAACCCAGTGTTTTATTAGAAAATGTACTCAACTGTCCAAAAAAAGGACATAAGCAGAGGTTGCATGGGGCATCCAATAGGAGGGAGGAGACAAGTGGCAATTACCAAAACCATTCTAGTAATCAGTACTTTAATACGTTTGTTCCTAAGTCACCATGAGTGAGTTGGGAGGCCATATACATTGCTTTTGAAATAAAAATAAATAAAAATAAACAAAATTTGTATATGGGCAAGCCTCCACAGCAGCCATTTCACAAGAACATGTGCAAGGTGTTCTCAGAATTCCAAATCTGCCCACCAACCCAACAAGATTGGGGACCCCTGCTTTAGGACCTAATCATTAAAGACTTCCAGCTCATGAATCATTCGCACTTTACTCAAATAGCTGATTACATTTAAAGAAGGTTGTACATTTAAAATATTTCCTATACAATAGCATTTTGAACTGATTTATAAAATATAAAATGGAAAATAAATTTAATAAATTTTAAAAAAAATTAAAAACCCCATTCAGTTAAAAGGAAGGAAGAATTGACAACAAAAGCAGGAGCAAAAACATTTATCCAACATTCACACAAAAAGGCCTGGGAGTAAAGACATTATTTTTGGAAGGGAAGATTACATCTAATTTAGAAATAAAAGATACCATTTAATATCAGAAAAGAAGTTTATCACTAGTGCTTCTTTTTTAATCGAGTATAGAAAATAGCATCTTATTCCAGAAAAATATCAGCGCAAGAACTGTTTCAAAAGTTCAAATTTCATCAGTATTGTACAAGATCTTAATTTAAAAGGAATATTAAAAGAAATATTTAAAAGGAATATTAAAGATTACTGTTTCTGTTTTCTAAAACTGAAGAAAATTCACAATGATTACCTCCTTTAATGAAGAGATATGAAATAAATAGCTCTCTAGATATTACTGGATTACAAACCTCATCTCTCTAACTTGGCCAAGCTATCTGGACCTGATGGCAGTTGGAGTCTAACATCTGGAGGGCCACTGTTCTGATAAGCATCAAAAGTTATTTTGATTAACACTGCCAGGCCCAAAAAATAAAGTAGCACTGGGGATACATGATCACCACCTTGAGCAAACTGTAAAGGTAGTTGTGACAGGTTCAGAAATCATCCAAAAAGAAAGAGCTGTACTCAGAATAATCAAGTATCCTTGCAAAAACTGGACAAATTTGTGTCCTGCTGTAGCAAGTACAATTTCTGAATACCCTACAAATGTACCATAGAACAACTGGGCCTAGAATCAGCTAGTAGGAATGTAATCCTGAATGTGATTCTAAGAGGTTCCCAGATGTTCTCAAAGTACCATCAAGTCTAGTTTGGAAAATTGTAAAGGAAATCCAGATTGCAAGCATACTGGACATCACAGACATGTATCTCAAAATTGAGTTTAAAAATGAGAATGGGGCTAACATGTCAATAACATTCTCAGCCTGAGTAAATAGGGATAAATTCTATCCTGAAATTAAAAATCCAGTTGATTATCTCTCTAATTCAATGAATTAAAAAGTTTTTAATTGCCATGATATGCTTTGGGCTGATTAATCATTCAGGGAGTTTCCAAATGAGCTTATAATAATGCAGTTTCTCTACCTTTTTCACAAATTACTTCGTACTCAACACCCTCTTAGAATCATTCGATGTCCTGCCTCTTTTTGGTAGTGCAGTACCAAATGCTACATTTCAGATGGCCAGTTTTGCAGAACCCAGATGGCGGAATGCCTGAGCCACAGTAATGACTATGCTTAAGTGAGAACACATGCCTATTTTTGTGGCTTCTGGTTTTTTGGGTATTTATCAGTGGCATCCCTTGGGCAGGGTGTCAAAAAAAAATCAAGATGTGGTCACAGCAGGGTGGCTTTGCTTGCGTTGCCACGATGGTCCTCTCGACTATATTCTCCCCTCCCCTCCTCCCTGCCACGCTACTGCTATTTACCCAAGGGACCAATAGATGCACGTAGCTAGCAAGGACACATGGAGAAAACTAGAAGCCTTTCCAAACGTTAGCTGTTCTGCAGAAGACCTCTTCTGTATGGCAATTCCTTAATAGTAATGATAACAGTTTCCCAGTAACAAATATGGCACGCAGGTGCTATAAGTAAGTTGCTTCGTTTTAATTTTTAATGGGACTTTATTCAGGTCAAATTCAGTATGAGTAAGGATATTTAGGAGTTGGCCCAGAAGCACAGAAAATCAAATTCTCCATTTGGTTACATCATTACAGCTGTTTTGGGTAAATCTTTCCTCCGGATCAAATAACACAGGCCTATTTTAACCCAGCTGCTGAACCAATCTGTATTTTCAAACTTCGGTGAGCTCCAAATAAGTAATCCATACAAAATAATGGAATTCCTGTATGGAAATCTCTTGAACAAACCAATGACAGAACAGACCCCAGTGTATGTTAAAGGGATCATAAAATTTAGAGTAAGAATAACTTTCTGGCTCACTGAAAATGTAGTATATTGGTCCCATTTTGCTTGCTTCTGCGTTACCTCAGCACACAGTGCTTGGGAACTGGAGTCTCTTTTCAATCATATCCATTCCATATCACCCAGGATAATGTTACTAACTTAAAATGACCTTGGATTAATTCTAATTTCTTCACTTTGGCCTTACAAGTATAGCATGTTGAAACAGAATAGGACTGCTTCAAGCACATGGTTGGCTGGCAATTGCTTTAATGCTGAAATTACTTCAGCAGGCAAGAGAATGGGAGACCACAATGTATATTAGAAAAACATTCATTGTGTGTCACTGCAAATACTTGTGATAAACCAATAAAGCAAGATAGATGAAGACCATTGGTGTTGAGAAAATTACATTTAGATTTTGGTGCCCTCTGAATCAATTGGCCTATCCAAATTGGATCTTCAGACATTAGACATGTTCCAGAAACAAATAAATCCTCAATGGCAGAAATCAGCACAGACTTTAATGTTTTATTATGACAATGATGATCAGTAGAGCTTAAGAAATGTTTATGTTTGGTTGCATCATGTCTCCAAGGGAAATTGTTTTAATGTTAAGATGGGTGGTGGAGAGAGGTCCCAGATCTTTGAGGGAATCCTGGCCATGCACAAGAGGACATACTGGAACACCCCCTTGCAAAACCTAATTCTATTCCGCTCCGTCCCTCCCAGGATCTCTGTTGAAACTAGCCATCCTTAGCTAGTCTACGGATTGTGGTGAAGGTAAGTTTCCAGTACAACAGCACCCCCAGGGTCCTTATCAGCTGTCAGCCAATCACTTTGGGGAAATTTTTATGGTAAGATCCCAACATCTTTTGAAGCATGAGGTTTCCATCTTCCCTTACTGCCCTTTTTAAAAATTACAATTCATTTATTTGCTCTCCTCAAAGTTAACAGGCAACCCTGAGAGCTGAGCCTGCTCCCATCAATAGTGTGCCTCTGCTTTCCACTGCCTGGACAAGCTAGAGCAGTTTCCAACTTCTGCCCTTGATATTATTGGTCTATAACTCTCATTCCCACTAAACAATGGACACGAGGCTTGGGAATTCTAGAAGTTGCAGTTCCAAAGTATCTGGAGGGGGCCAGGTTGGGGGGAAGGGTGCTATGTAAGAATACACGATTCTGGAAAAGCTCCAAGCACAAGGAGTCTCCCCTCTTATTCCCAGGTTTGGGTGGAGAAGGGAAAAATGGATTGATGCCTTTATTTGGTCAACACCTACCTGCCAGGATAGAACTAAGAGTAGAGAGCACATAGTTCAGTGGGATAACTGCGGCTGAACCGTAGATCTCCGTTGCTTGATTCAAGAACCTGTGAGAAGAATGTCAGTGTCACATCCGTATGAATTTGAAGCCTAAGACATGGTTATCTGCTTTTAGGAATTTCAACGTTTCTTCCTTAGAAAAACACTGTATCCTGAAATCAACTCATCCTGTACTACATATATCTTAAAAAGATTTTTAAAAAACACAGCAGGTGGCAGCACCTAGCAGACCTTGGCTGATCTTGAAAAAAACCAATGGACCTTCTTAGCATTGGGATGGGAGACCACCTGGAAATGCCAAAGGTGTCAGTCAGACTGGGGAAAAAGTCTTGGAAGCACTGCCAAGAAAACAGCATAAATGTGTCTATGTACTCCTCAGAAATAACTCAAGGGAGATTTTATTTAATAATGTATTATCATATAATGAACATCACAAGAGCCCTATTTTTTCCCCACTCTTTATGCTCTAATACTGCCTTCCCTGATTCGGCGCTCTCAAGATGTATTAGACTACACTAATACTCCTTGGGAATTACAGGAGTTGTAATTCAACATATCTGGAAGATAACATCTTAGGGAAAGCTACCCTAAACTTAAATTAATACCTACCTTTCAGAAATCTAATGAAATCCTATGCATATTTGCTTACTAAAAGTCACAATGAAGCTTATCTCCAAGTAATCACCTATTCTACTTGAAGTTGATTTTACCAGGGGAAAAAAGCGTGAAGTATTGTATAATATTTATAAATATTTATCTTTAAAAAAATAAAATAAAAATCAGGATTAAATCCAAAGCAGTACAGATCCAACTGGAAAAAATAATTGGGCAGAGATCTAAAACAATAATCAGTTCTAAAACATAAAGTCTTATGTTTCTATGACTAAAGAGTCTGATGTAACTTACAGAGCCATTTTATGCTATTGGATATTGCGCACGTGCATGGATGTATATGTGCATATTTGCAGTGCTTCCAACATCAGAATGAATACAGTAGCATGCAAAAGTTTAGGCATCTCTGGTCAAATGGTTTCAATGAATCTCTAAGAGGACAGAAAATTACCTAACTTCTACATGGTACAAAGTTAAACATACCTTTCTGTGATTTAGAATATATAATTACTATGTATATGCAATCATTTACAGATTAAAATGAGAAAACAATGAAAAGAGCAAGTGCATAAGTTTGGATACCCTTCCAGTGGATTCAGTGCTACTTAAAAAAAATGTCATTAAAAAGGCCCAAAGAGATGATTGACTTTTTAGACTTACAACTAACCCAGAGCAGACAATTCCCCAGATCGACATATATTTTGATGCTTCTAACTTCTTAGATTGTGATTATTTTCCTGTCTATTCAATAGTTACAGGCTCTTCCAAGCAGCTGCTTGCATATTTGAAAATAAAGATAATTCACTCTTCCAAAGCATGGGAAGGCTATAAAAAAATCTCTAAATGGTTCCAACTAGCAATTTCAACTGTGAGAAACAAAGTTACATGAAATTGTTGATGTCAAAGCAAGATCTGGAAGAAAAATCTGCTACTACTGCCCGAAAATGGGTCAGATCTGCAAAACAACCCACAAATCGCTGCAAATTACTTGCTAAAAACTTTCGGTGACACTGAAATAGCTGTTCATCACACAGTGTTGCTTTTACAATTACCTGTATGACTTAGCAGAAGCAAACCTTTTCTCCAACCTCAATCCAAAAGTCATTGTCTAAAACATGCAAAAGTAAAAATGTGATAACCCTGAAATATCTTAGAACAAAGGGCTTTGGAATGATGAAACAAACGTTCAGCCACATCCACGCAAGATACATTGGGAGAAAAAAAGTGATGTAATTCTAGGGGGGAAAAAACCCTTACCAACTGTTAATCTTGAAGATAGTTCTATTTATGCTTTGGGGTTCTGTGGCAGCCACTGGCAAAGGCTATATTGGGCAGATGGAAGGAAACATGGATACAACTAAATATCAACATATCCTAGAAGCTAACGTCCCACTCTCAGTGAAGAAACTGAACTGGAAAGATGTGGGATACTGTAGTGAGACAAATCAATCATTGGAGCATTTAGTTACAAGAAAGGAGGTTAAAGTTTTGGAATGGGCTTCATAGTCCCTAGACTTTAATGTTACTGAAAATCTGTGGAGAGATCTCAAAACATTTAGTGCTGGCTAAGAGAGTAAAATTATTTCTGAGATAGAAGGGTTCTGCAAGGAAGAGTTAGAAAAAAAATCTGAAAACTAGGATAGATTATTCTCTATCTAATAGCTAAGACAGATTCTTAGCTAGGAAACATTTAGAAGCTGATATTTCTGCCAGAGGCATTACAAAGTACTGACCTCAAAAGGTGTTCGATTCTCTGCACCTGCCATATTCACTGTTGTTGTTGTTTTGAATCTGTAGACAACTCACATTTATGCTACGTATATGTTAAAATTTGCAGAAAATTTGTGCAACATGTACACGTTGGGTCACCTTATCACTTAAGGATTCACTGACAAATACAATTTGACATGGGGGCACTAAACTTTTGCATGCAACTGTACATTATATTCTAATTTTATTAGAGTGAATGTGGCCATTGGTTATTTAAAGGTAATCAAACAGAACATACTTCATTTTATAAGCAATGGCACCTCTTTTCTGACCACCAGGGTTTCCAATCTTTTTAGGCTTGTGGATTGTTAAAGTACATTAAGCAATGGTGAAAATCTGCTACCGTACCCTGTGTCTTAAGAAACTTTCATCACAATTTGAATGCAAAAGTCTTCACCTTGCAGAAGATGGTGTGCCCTTGAATGATATGATATCCCAAAGTAGCCTTTCGATACCATGTTAAAGTCCAGTTTCTAATCTGTTTTAGCCATTAGGAATGACTGTAGCTATTTTAGCAATTACTGAGCAGTCTCCACGGATCCCACAAAAATTTTAAACCTTGCATATTCATGGAATAGTCAAGATTTCAAAGTCACTGCAAATTCCTCTGATTTTAGCTATTTGTTCCAATGTCAGTCTGAGGAAATCCAACACAAATGTGTGAAAATGCTGCAGAAAGCAAAAACAGATGGTCCACTAAAATAAGTTGGGCATTAAGTTTGTCTGCAAGCTATTCTTTGGAACAAGTAGAGGCAAAAAGTGTGAATTGCAAAATTCTTGGTTCAAATCCTTTTTCAACTTTCACTGCAGTAAATGAGATAAGTTAAGCTGCAAAAATGTAAGAAGGACTTTGCTGTATCAGATAAAAAGTCCAGGTCCTTCTTCCCATAGCAATCAACCAGATGCCTTTGAGAACCCACCATGAAGGCCATAAGTCTCTCCACTCTTGTGGAGCTGATAGTCTGGAGACTTCTAAAACCAATGACAGTAGTGGTCACTGGCAGACATCTCCTATATCATTCTCCCAATTGGAAGCCCTCCACATATTCTAGGAATACAACTCCCAGAATTCCTGACATCAAAGAACCGTGAATCCTGAGAATGCTAATCCTAGCACTTCGGGAGGTGTAATGGTATGTGAGAATGACCTTGGGATACAGGGGGAAGAGCCATAGCCAGGGCAATGGTTGGATAAGAGGCAGCTTAGCCTGCAGTAGGAATCTGGGCATGGCAAAAGTCTCAGAAGGGACCCTCCCTAGTTTCTTGGGCTGTAAAGGCAGTGGGGAAGAATTGTACTTTCAGACTTGCAAGATTCTGTTAATGTAACCTTACAATAAGTAGAGCTAGTTCTTCTGGGTGTGCTTCTTGTCTAGACTACCTCACAAGGCTGACAGGAGGGCACTAGAATGGGGAAGGCTGCCTTCCTTGACTGTATCTAATTCCCTTCTAAAATTGTCTGAGCTAATTGACCACACTTCTATTGTTGTTGTTGTTCAGTCGTTAAGTCGTGTCCGACTCTTCGTGACCCCATGAACCATATTGCAC